TCTTCTGTAGCTTTTTTGTAGAATTGACCTTCATCTGATTCTTCTTATATATTTTGTAAAAGTTATACTATTCTATTTCTAGCCTACTGTTTTTTATAGCATTGAACACACTCTGATTATTCTTTAATGATTCGTAAAATTGACCACATTCTGATTGTTCTTTTATGTTGGGTAGAATTGATAACATTTTTATTATTCTTTAATGTTTCGTAGAACTGACCACATTCTGATTATTCGTTAATGATTCGTAGAATTGACCACATGCATATTTTTCTTTAATGACTGTAGAATTGACCACATTCTGGTTGTTATTTAATGACTATAGAATAGACCACATTCTGATTTTCTTTAATGTTGGGCAGTGGCGTAGCTACCGTAAAGCTAGCGTAAGCAAGGCATGATAATGCCCAAGGCAAATAGGGGCCCTTTTTCGAAAGTCTGAGGGGCGGGGGGTGCAAATCAAAAGTCTGAGGGGGGGGGGGGGGGGAGGGTGCAAATCGAAAGTTTGTCCCCGGTCGCCGGGAAGGGTCGCTACGCCTCTGAGGGCCCACTAACACTTTTTGCATAGGGGCACAAAAATCCTAGCTACGCCACTGATGTTGGGTAGAATTGGCCCTATTCTGATTTTTCTTTAATGAGTGTTAGAATTGACCACAATCCAGATATTTTTTGACCAACCGTGTCTTCCACAGAACTTGCTCCAGGCCTTCTCTGGTCATCTGGTCAGCTACGTGTACCGCATCCTCAACAACTTCCTCTCCCGCATCACGTACGAGGCCCAGCCAAGATGGCGGTTCAACATATCTGACGCCCCCCTCCCCAGCATGGGCTATCATCAGGACAAGACCTACGTTGACGTCACCATCACGCACAACTCCGGGAAATGTAAGAGTTTGTACACGATATTTGGTTGTTCGAAAAAAATAATTACATTTTGTTTGGACAAAAGGCTTACATTTTGAGAGATAATATCATGGCAATGTATCAGTTACGTCATAAAAGGTTGCCTGGACATTAAACCTATGATATAAATATTTGGACATAAAATTCGTAGTTGTAGATAAGTTAGGACGTAAAGCCCTTGGATATAAATATTATGGACATAAAGCCCCTGGATATAAATAATTTATACATCCTCAGACGTAATCGTTTTGGTATAAAGAAGGCCTTTCATGCAGATATTATGAACATAAAGACTAGGTACTCAGAGGAAGAAGAACCAACAAACTTTACAAAGTTTTAAAAAAAAATCCTAATCATTATATTTGACGAGAAACTAACAGATTATGGTTAGGAAAGTTTCAGCCTAGTCTTGTATGCCCCCGCCGACAGCACGCTACAATAAGACGATAGAGATTATTACGTTATTTCATTATTATAACATTTTTATAAAAATGTCTTCTGTTGTAGTTTCTCGAGAAATCTTTGAAGAACACGATCTGGTGAAATACTTTAAAGACCACGTAAGTAGTTCAATATAGCCATATATATATAATATTATCCTATATATATATATATATATATATATATAATATTATCCTATATATATGTATATATATATGTATATATATAAATAAATATATATAAATAAATATATATATATATATATATATATATATATATATATATATATATATATATATATATATATATATATATATATATATATATATTTATATTTATATATATATATATATATATATATATATATATATATATAAATCCATATATATATATGCCTATATATTTGACGATTCCTTCTCCACAGACCAACCTAACACTGCTGACGACGTGTCGCACAGGACAAAGTTGTGAGATGACCTCCCCTGTGGCCCAACCCACGGTGTTTAAGAAACACGCCCCTGTCTTCATCGCCGTCATCATCCTCTGCTCCGTGTGTCTGCTGCTCATCGTCATCGGGCTGGCGTGGGCCAGGTTCTGGAGGCGTGGCACCTACAAGGCCGGCGGCGAGAATGTGGTAAGGCGATCTAGTAGAAACATCTGTATGATTCTACGTTGTACTTGTCATTCGCGTTACTAGGGTGGTGCATTGGGGGGGGGGGGTATCCATTTCTAAGTGAGGGCAATTTTTTAAAATAATAATTAAGACATCGAACTCTTTTTTTTAAACACAACTAATTGTTAAAATTACTAACGAAGTATTATTTTTTTTCCTTAATAAAAAAAATGTATTTGAAAAAAATGAAATTTTGGTATTTGTGGTCAGCCCTCTAATCGCTCTGTCACCCGAACGCCCTGTCACGTGAGCGCCCTGTCACGTGAGCGCCCTGTCACGTGAGCGCCCTGTCACGTGAGCGCCCTGTCACCCGAACGCCCTGTCACGTGAGCGCCCTGTCACTTCCTGCCGACTTAACATTTGTTAACAGATTGTTTTGACTATTTTCTCAGATGGGGGAGGGCGGTGCACTTGATATTTGGGGGAGGGTGGAGTACATTTTCCGGGGGGGGGGGGGGGCACTGGTAAAAGTATATGTTTTCTATATATAAATTCAATTTAGTTTAGGGGGGGTGTAGACTGTCTACGTGGGGGTGGACCCCCCCCCCTCCTAAGAGATGGCTGGAATAAACTTTGCTCTCTCTCTCTCTCTCTCTCTCTAAATTGTCTGAAAGGAACACCAATGAGTAGTGATCCATTGCAATTTTAACAAAATTATGAGGTACAAATATAATTAAAACAGATTCGCACTTTTTTCATGGTATCATGTGTGCACAATCTCTGACCACCACGCCACAATCACCACGCCACTCTCTCTAACCACCACGCCACTCTCTCTAACCACCACGCCACTCTCTCTAACCACCACGCCGCTCTCTCTAACCACCACGCCACAACCACCACACCACAACCACCACGCCACCATCTCTAACTCACACACGTGCCCGTCTACTCACCAGGAACAGCGAGTGGTGGCCAACGACCGGCCCTACTACAACGCCACCCCCAGCCCGTTCACAGACGAGCAAATCATGAAGGACGAGGTGGCCGAGCCCAGCACGAAACAACCGGACACGCCCATGCGAGACGACGAGATGAACGGAAACGGCGACAGCACTTGGGTCATCCCCCTTGACGACGCCCCGGTGACCTACAACATGGAGGACACGAAGCTCTGACGCATGCGTGAAGCGTCGTGTTATTTTTAGTTCCAGTGTGAGACAATCCTAGTACTGTTAAAGGGGAACTACTCTAAGTAAAAATGCAGTATCGGAAATGTTTAATTTCGTATACATTTTTAGACTTTTCAGTATACACCGACACCAAAAGTCATCTCACGTTATATTCTGATCCATTTATGTATGAAAAAAATAATTAGAGACTGCTGCCTTATAAAAAATTTCAGTTCAATGCGACAAAACAAAAGAAAATAGATGTGTATAAGAAAATGAACAATGCCCACGGCGTTCAGTTAAAACTGTACCGGGTATTTAACGAAAGTAAAACAAGACAAAACTAAGGCTAAATAAAGGGAAGTAAGCAAGTAACACTCAAGTGAAAAAAAAAATACATCGAATATACATCGAATACTTTTATTTTATGTAACGTTAACATTATAATTTCAATTAGTTATTTTTTTTAATTACAGTATAAACAAAATGAGACATAAAATATGCAATTTGCAAGAGGTGTATGTATGTATGTGTGTGTATAGCATTCAATTTTTAAACTACTTTTGAATATATTGTGTGAGACTGGCGGAATATTTTGAGTTTACACATCAGAATTTTTTGTATAAATTGTGTCAGGTGGTTCCCGATATGTTCGTCACGAAGCAGCTACACAGCCAGTGGTTGAAGCTACACAGTGGTAGCTAGGTGTGGGAGTGGAAGAATTGATGCCTTCTCTGGAGATCTTTTAAAATAGTTTTTTTTTTAGCTGCTGGTACTTGTTACGGTAAAACTTTTAAAATTACTGTATTAATTAATTAATTATTGTAATTTGTAAAGCTATCACACACATGTATTTTTGTGTGAGTGTAATTAATATATTGATTGTACTGATTTAACTAATGCTTTTTTTTTTGTTAAAATATTGTACTTTTCCTTAAACTAAGACTTGCGAATTGCTGGATATTTTTGTTTAATACTTAATGCTTAATGTTGTTGGTCAAATAAGTCGTGCATAAATGATATAAAACTTTGAGTTTTGGTTGCCCTACCCGAAAATACTTCACGCCTCAGCTCGACACGCCCCCCCCCCCCCCCACTCCACTTTTATTAACTGCAATGTATTCCCAGTTAATTCTTCTTAAAATATAAACAGAGCTGTACGAGGGTTATGTACATTGATTAAGAAGTTGAGCTACAACTTACAAAAGAAAAATCTAAAATAACTTCTAATAACATTGTGACGTTATAATCTATCTTTGACACCCCCCTTCTACACTAATCTAGTTGCACGTCTGATTCTCCTCATGACTATGACGTCATTGTTGGGCGGTTCCACAAAAGTTTCCAACGGCCATCCAACCAAAGAATGAAACTCGTGTAAATATTATTGTATATGTAATCACCCACTCACCAGTTTTAAATGTGTATTCATGTAATGAATTCGACACCACGTAAGAGTGTGTCAGTGTGTGTGTGTGTGTGTGTGTGTGTGCGTGTGACGTATGACATCCGGGGTCTGGATCTGCAGACGCCTACGTCACTGGTCAAGTGATGTTTTTTGTTTATATTTATACACAAAAAGCCTTAATTAATAAGCTGATAAAAAAGCCTTAATTAATAATGACCTGCCTTTATTAAGTTGATTTACTTTAATGAATTTCTTCAGTATTAATGTATTTAATAGCCTTAATTTTTTATAATATTATTATATTGAAATATGCGTGTGTGTGTGTATGTTAGATACGCTGTAAAAAATGTGCGAACATTATCATAACATGAGTTAACATTATCAAATTAAATTGCATTTATTTTACAAATTAATTTAAACATTACTTGCCACATTAATTAATTGTTTATGTACAACATCTTCTTAAAATAAGTCTAAAAACTAAAAACCTGTCGGTATAAATTTCTATTTAAAAAATGTCAACTGAATCTTCTTTTGGTAAAAAATTGATTTCTTTAAATTAAAAAAGATCCAGATGATGTATTATTATTTTTGTTTTCACAGTTAGCTTTACAAAGTATGGAAGCCCAAAATGGTCAAGTTATTTATTTTATGAACGTGGTATCGACTCGTTATATTCTATTGCGTGATGTTAATAATGAGTTTGTTATTTAAATGTGTTTACTACATGATACTTCCATATATGACAGAATAAATGGGAGAGGAAGGATCTGTATTTAGACTGTTTGTTATATTGTATGTAAAAAAAAGTAAAATTATGGAGTTTTATGTATGCGGTTTATATACGTATAGTTTTAACATATTTTCTATTCATGCTTTGTGAATAAAAGTTTTGAGAGTTTAAGATCTTGTCATGTTTTCATCTGACATATTGTTCATTCAATCAGGTTTGTAAACTGTCGTGGTTCATTGTTCATTCAATCAGGTTTGTGAACGGTCGTATTTCTTTTGGTAGCTTGCAAGGTGACAAAGCACAAAGCCAGACATGAGCAGGTGAGGTAGAGTTCGTGTGTAAGCAGTCTATCACTAGCACATACTACCCTAAATAAGAAACGTATGTGTTCTATAAGCACACACAATATGCTACATTGTAACCTTAATATATGTGTGTTTGTATAATTGTGCTTATATATATATATATATATATATATATATATATATATATATATATATATATATATATATATATATATATATATATATATTCATATGTTTATGTCTCTGTGTATGCTTATTTGCATCACTTGAATGTACAGGGCAGATAGGTGTGTCGCTATTTTTGTTTTTATTATACATCCAGATCAAATACTTAAAAACTACTTTCTCATAACACTATTTAACAACTCATTTATTTAAACAATGTACCTATCTCTTTTTTATTATTATTTATTTTTATTTTTTATTTCTTTTGTTTAATTTTTTTTTTTTTTTTTTTTTAAGTTCAAAACGTTTATTACAATATAAAAAACTCAACATAACTACACTTTCAACCGTTTCCACGCTAAATTTCTGATGCAATTTTTAAACTTTTAAACAGCTATAAGAACATTAAAGCTAGCAAATCTTTTTTAACTAAGCTCTGGGAGAGTCATTTTTAACATCACAAAACTATTCAATTTTTTTCTGCCACTGCTAACACTGGAATTATTGATCAAATATCAGGATCAATGTGTTTTATAACAGTAGAAACAAAAAGATATGCATGGCAAAAATAAGTTCCCTGGGCTTGTAATAAATAAATTATTTTCACTACAGTGAGGAAAAAATCACTTGATAACTTTAATTTAATGTACTTTATAAATTATTGTGGCTTGCAGTTGTACAATGGAGGTGCTGAATGTAGGTAAATGACACCACTTTTGTACAGATATCCATATATAGCGATGAAGGCTAGTGCAAACGAAAGTAAAAACAAGTTGATCTTGGAATTCTTTGCTTTATAATTTGAGACCTTTAGCCTCCAGGGACTGGTAAGAAAAAGATTTTATATATATATTTATTTATTTATTTTTTAATACTTTTATTTGCAATTAAAACAAGTACATCAACATCAAATTTTTTAACATAATTTTGAACACCAAATGAAATCGAAAGGTTTTGCAAATGTACATAATGAATTTAATTTAATTTTTTTTTTTTTTTTTCATAATGAATTTTATATTTAATTATTATTTAATTTTTTTTTTTTTTTTTTTTTTTTTTTTTTTTTTTTTTTTTTTTTTTTTTTTTATTTTTATATAATTATTATTTTATATTTAAATAATTTATTAAAATCACTTGTTTACATTGATAATCTGATTCCAACAAACAAAATATGTAACAATTAACACTTGTATTTTTCGCCCTGAAACATTATCTGTATAAGGAGGGATTAAATAATCTTAGATATATCTTTTGCTTATTTTTTACATCAACACACACGTGTGTGCATTCCCGGACAACCACGTGTTAAGACAGTTGATGAGCAGAACTCTTGAGGGTCTCAAGATCATCATCTTACAGTTGAGATATCTTCGTGCAGCTGTTTCCTCCCTTTGAGATGTCGTTCTAATCAGAGTTGTCCCGCCTAGTCCCACTTGAAACAGAGATAAAAAAAATTTACGTCAGCGCATCTTTATCCTGTTGTTGCTGTTGTTTTTGTTTTATTGCGACGTGGTACAGATAGCATCTGCTTTGATGAACCAATGATAACAATAATTATAATTACAACAATAAAAGAGTGCCTTTCTACATGCATGAATATGTGTATATATATATATATATATATATATATATATATATATATATATATATATATATATATATATATATATATATATATATATATATATATAAACATAGATCATATTCTCTATATATACTCTATGAGCGTTTATATATTTCTAATATCTGTATGCAAAAAATGGTCAGAATATAGTTAAAAATGCTTGAGGGTATAATCCAATGTGTAAATTATCCACAATTAATTTTATGGTGCTATTTAAACTACCAGTTTTTGAAATCAACGGGCCTCTGTGATATCAAGTGATCAGTCTGTGAATCAAATAACACATCTGATTTGGTGAGACACTTGTCACACTCAGCGGAGGGAGGGGGGATCTGACATCGCTCTAAAAGCTTAATTGATCCTTGATTCGAAATAAAATATTTTTCAATTTTCTCCGGAAAAATGACGAAAGTCGTAGTTTCTTTGTTTTTTTTTTACTAAATATTAAAATACAAAAAAACGAACGTTCATTGTAAATAAATCCGTTCATAAAGGTAAGCTACTCAGCTTTCCTTAAAAACGAATCATTTTCTGAATTGCCTCCCTTACACTTTACACATTTTTTTTTAAAATCTAAAGATATTTTATTCTTTTTGTATTCTTTGCATTGTCTGTATTTAGCAGCAGATGCGTGATCTTAATCGCCATGAGAGCTGTATTGTTTACAAACTCTCGCCAAACAGACTTTAGTACAGCAGCTCTCCTTTGATGAAGTAATTGCAGCTGATGTGTTCAATATGCCACTACACATGTGCTCTAGGTCAACTGCATGTTACTACACGCGTGTTTCCAGATCAGCTGTGTAGGTGCAGAAAAGGCTCTGTGCACACCACAACACAATGTTAATCTGTAGATTTATGCATAAGCACACGCACACATACACACACACCAACACACATCATATATATATATATATATATGTATATATATATATATATATATGTATATATATATATATAAATATATATATATATATATATATATATATATATATATATATATATATATATATATATATGTACATATGTATATATATGTACATATATATATATATGTACATATATATATATATATATATATATATATATATATATATATATATATATATATATATATATATATATATATATATATATATATATATATATATATATATCAGAAACGCCACTGCAGACGTTTGTTTTCTTATCATGCATGTACAGTTTAACACCTGGGGTCATTTTGCCCTACTTTCTCACCTGATTAATCGATTACGTCTTTGTAAACCGTATAACTTACCTGCGATCTGGCGTTATTACACACAGAGTGAAAGGACGCACACTTAACTATGTTGGTACCTGAAGATTACAATTCACGGTTGTTAAGATAAAGTTGGGGATTACTGTACCGTGACCGCTTACCATGACTCTGCCACGAAGCTTAAGCCAAAGATTAACCTCTAAGGACTGAAGTATTGATTTTGGCGATTCTGAAATGTGGTTACGGCGAATCGATAAGCAATAGAACGTTTAAACTGGCAATAAAGTAGAGCCCACAATGCAAATTTTGACACAACTAATGTGTGCTATTGTACACATAGCTACTTTATAAAAATGTCCTCACAGCTACTTCATACCAATGTTACCACAACTACCTCATACCAATGTACCACAACTACTTCATACCAATGTAACCACAACTACTTCATACCAATGTACCACAACTACTTCATACCAATGTAACCATAACTACTTCATACCAATGTACCACAACTACTTCATACCAATGTACCACAACTACTTCATACCAATGTAACCACAACTACTTCATACCAATGTACCAGAACTACTTCATACAAATGTTCATCATTGTCCCTCTACTACTTCATACAAATGATCATCATTGTTCATCTACTACTTCATACAAATGTTCATCACTGTCCCTCTACTACTTCATACAAATGTTCATATTTGTCCCTAGACTACTTCATACAAATGTTCATCATTGTCCCTTCACTACTTCATACAAATGTTCATCATTGTCCCTAGACTACTTCATACAAATGTTCATCATTGTCCCTCAACTACTTCATACAAATGTTCATCATTGTCCCTCAACTACTTCATAAAAATGTTCATCATTGTCCCTCTACTACTTCATACAAATGTTCATCATTGTCCCTCAACTACTTCATACAAATGTTCATCATTGTCCCTCTACTACTTCATACAAATGTTCATCATTGTCCCTAGACTACTTCATACAAATGTTCATCATTGTCCCTCTACTACTTCATACAAATGTTCATCATTGTCCCTCAACTACTTCATACAAATGTTCATCATTGTCCCTCTACTACTTCATACAAATGTTCATCATTGTCCCTCAACTACTTCATACAAATGTTCAGTATTGTCCTACAACTACTTCATACAAATGTTCATCATTGTCCCTCTACTACTTCATACAAATGTTCATCATTGTCCCTCTACTACTTCATACAAATGTTCATCATTGTCCCTCTACTACTTCATACAAATGTTCGTCATTGTCCCTCAACTACTTCATACAAATGTTCATCATTGTCCCTCTACTACTTCATACAAATGTTCATCATTGTCCCTCAACTACTTCATACAAATGTTCATCATTGTCCCTCTACTATTTCATACAAATGTTCATCATTGTCCTACAACTACTTTATACAAATGTTCATCATTGTCCTTAGACTACTTCATACAAATGTTCATCATTGTCCCTCTACTACTTCATACAAATGTTCATCAATGTCCCTCTACTACTTCATACAAATGTTCATCATTGTCCTTAGATTACTTCATACAAATGTTCACCATTGTCCCTCATACAAATGTTCATCATTGTCCCTAGACTACTTCATACAAATGTTCATCATTGTCCCTCTACTACTTCATACAAATGTTCATCATTGTCCCTAGACTACTGCATACAAATGTTCATCATTGTCCCTCTACTACTTCATACAAATGTTCATCATTGTCCCTCAACTACTTCATACAAATGTTCATCATTGTCCCTCTACTACTTCATACAAATGTTCATCATTGTCCCTAGACTACTTCATACAAATGTTCAGTATTGTCCTACAACTACTTCATACAAATGTTCATCATTGTCCCTCTACTACTTCATACAAATGTTCATCATTGTCCCTCAACTACTTCATACAAATGTTCATCATTGTCCCTCAACTACTTCATACAAATGTTCATCATTGTCCCTCAACTACTTCATACAAATGTTCATCATTGTCCCTCTACTTCTTCATACAAATGTTCATCATTGTTCCTAGACTACTTCATACAAATGTTCATCATTGTCCCTAGACTACTTCATACAAATGTTCAGCATTGTCCTACAACTACCTCCGTTATAATTTCTCTATGCTCTTGTTTACCTATTCAACCAACTTCAAAACAACTCAAGCGTAGCGAAGATACGAAAACGTAATCAGCTGAAAACTCAATTGTTAGACTAGCCTACAATAGAACCCCCCCCCCCCCAGCTATATACACTTCGCATTCAGCCCACAATCTCCTACTTGGAGATATACAATTTCTAGAACCTAACAAGTTATTGAACACACTAAAAAAATCAGCTAACTGTTTGGCTCGATTTCAAGACACACACAGCAAACCAAGACTGACAACTCTACATTGAAATAACCTGCCACTCGATTTAATGAATTATTCACTTGCGTGTTTGGTTATTTCCCTTTAAAGAAAAGCTGATCAGCGGTTTGAATCGATACTCGCGATTATTGCCCCTGAATGGAGTGTTATGAAAAGACAAAATTGTTCAAAGGGAAAGCAGTAAAGGGGAGGGAGTTGAGGGGTTGATCGTCGGGTATGAATGTGAAACACATATATATACGACAGCACATCTTATATTTTAAGTACAGATCTGTGTTGGCATTTTAAAGTCAGTCTCAAGAAGTGGTAAGTTGATTCTCGTCAACCTTTGTCATTGTGGAGTTTTAAATATGATATTGTTAATTTCTGTTGTTGGAGAGTTTCAAAGTTAATTTTTTAAACGGCAATTTTAGTTAATTAATTACTTTGTGTAACTATTAGTAGTATATTTTACATTTTAAGTTTTTTAAAATTGTCGGTAGTCAACTTAAAATCGGGAGCTACACTGTAGTAGAGTGGATGCTGTTAGGCTTAGAAGCCGTCATGGATATAATTTTATCTAAGGAAATGGTATCATCAGGAAAGTAATTAGTAACGTTCCCATTCCAAACCAGATGGTCCACGGGGCAAGTGAAGTAGAGTTCACCTGTTTCTATGACCTTGGCATATAAAGGGATAGTGTGGCCAGTAGTATGCTTAGTCGCCTTTACTTTGTTTAACGTGAGTTAGGTACCCATAAGAGCTGGGTGGACTCATGGACGGTCTACTGACTTGAACCCCGATTCGAACGTGACTAGGTCAACCATTCAAAAGTTGATTATGTATGAATTTGGTTTGCCGTATCTCTCACGGTAAAATCCGAACCATCTTCTAACCATTAAGATAAGCGTTTAGTCCAGCTTAGTGCTGGAGTTTAGGTCTATCCTGGTGATATTGAATTTCATTTTATGACAAAAGATCGATTATTTGAAATAACCCAATCGAACTATAAAGATCTTCAAGTGAAATTGTTTTAATCTTTCCGGAGAAAATTGTCTGAAAAAACCCTCACAGAGGGGTACAATAATGTACGTTTCTCAAATATTCCTTTTGATAGCTTAAAAAGACTGAATAGCCATTAAAACGTTTGTGAAAGCAGAAGAATATTTACCACACCCCGTTTTATGATTTCTTTCAATTTTAGGCTAGACAATACCAAAACAAGACCCAACGACATCGGAAGCTGTAGTCATGGCAACCAGGTAAACATAAGCGTCCTCAGGCTCCATTATATTTTTATTCAATAAAGAACTTTACGCATGAGCAATTACAGCATTGTGAAATTTTGTCAATAAGAATGGATATATGTTAAGACAAAAAGTTTAGGATAATTTTGATTATGTTTTTATGAATGTATTTTTTTTCAAAAAGCATTTTTTTAAATAATCATTTTTTTGTGATTACTTTTCGAGATAATATTTTTAGGACAAATTTTGAGGGTATAATTTTGAGAATATGGAACCGTACTACAGTGTTAGCACATATATTATTTAGAGACGAAGTAAAAGTTCACGCATGCTTGACTTGAAACACTGTAGTTTAAAGTTTAAATCAATACTGAACAACAAAAGACGGAAATATATGGTCCAGGGAGACTTAAAATACACGTACATCCAAGAGGCTTTTTTTTTTAAATTTAGAAACTTAACATAAAATCAACAACAATTAAAAACACAATCTAAGACAACAACATTGAGGGTATGGTATAGTGTGTGTTTAGTTAGAATTGAGGGGATCATCCATAACCTATTTAAAACGTATTTTACCTACCTCTTTTTCTATTGTCACACATCGTCACAAAAAGCCAGACTCCTCCCCCCTCCCCCCCCCCCCCAAAAAAAAAGTCGTCACTTCTAAGCCTAAAATCCACAACACAATAACATCGATTTTTTATTTAAATATCTACTGGGCTTAGTCAACATCGATCAACAAAAAAAACATGAAAAAAGGGGATAAATTCAGTTCCAAACATTTTTTTTATGTACAAGAGTGTCATCATACTTTCTAACCCCATCTCCCCCCCTCCCCCCACCCCAACCTCTCGGCCAACGTCACACATCACATACAATTCCGAAACCTCCCCACCCCCTGTGTGTGACGTCGTTCATGGATGAACACTGAGATTAGTTGGAGGAATCCACTAAAGTTAATGGACTAGGTTAGGTTTTACTCCTAAGGGCTAGGGTTATGGCTAGGGTCAGTTAGGACTAGGGTTAGGGTAAATTAGTGTGTCTTGTGTAATCCACTGAAGACTAGGGTTAAGGTTAGCATAAGTGCAAACTACTAAGGACTAGGTTTAGCGTTATCGACAGTGCGTCTTCTTTTGACCAATTGTCTGATAATCTCCAGGATGAGCAGCTGGGCAGACGGTGACCCCTTGCGATACACGGGCAACACGGACCACTGGACAAAGATGAAGTTACGGGTAACGCATGATATACATTCTAATATTGTTATTGAGTTGTTGAATGTGTAAGAAATATATACAACGAGCCGACCCGCTGCGTATCATACGCCGCTATTTAGTTGTTTTTTTTCTACTTTTCAGTAATTTATAATTTGTGAATTCGACAGTACCAATGCTGCCATTGAAAATATTTGCTTAAAAACACTACCCCCCCCCCCCCCCCCCACGTGAAAGCAGCCTCCTCTTAGTTACCTCCTCTAAGTTTAAAATCGTTTCAAACTAAATTATCTGCCCCTAATAGCCGTCACCAAACCCGTCTCTGTGATTGTAAAATGTAAACAGAGTGAACACCGCTCACCAGATCATGTGGGGGTGGGGTGGGGGTGATAGTGATAGAGAGGAAGAGAGGGGACTGCAAAGGCGCGCTTGCAGCTTGTTTTCTAACTGATCCCAGAAGAGAATTATATATATAGATAAATGGATATTGTCCAGACAGCCCCCCCCCCACTCCCCCACCCAATAATGCAAAAAGTGTAAGGGTAAAAGTTTAGCCCCCCCCCCCCCCCCTCCCCCACTTTGACCTATTTCTGTCTAGTCATTTGAATATTTAAACGGACGCCCTAAAAATAACTCCTTATTCACCTCTAGGGTTAGGGTTAGGTTTGGGGTTAGGGTTGGGGTTGGGGTTATGGTTAGGGTTAGGTTTGGGGTTAGGGTTGGGGTTGGGGTTAGGGTTAGGTTTGGGGTTAGGATTAGGGTTAGGGTTAGGCTTAGGTTTAGGTTTAGGTTTAGGGTTGGGGTTAGGGTTAGGGTTGGGGTTGGGGTTAGGGTTAAGGATACCAAATTACAGACCTTTTACGTGTAACTTTATTAATGATTGGTCCCAATTTCACTCTCTTCAATAATATCTAAAAGTAAAAGTTTCATATCCTCCTGTTTTGTAAATCATACCATATACCATGTACTCTAATTAGGTATGTCGTAACTAAAATTCCCTCTCTGAATCATCTAAGTGCTATAAAATCCGGTCAATGAAATCCGTTTGAAATAGTTCATTTGTAGCCTATTTGATTAGTATTCAATGTAAAAATAAGTTTATTTTATTCTCGTGAAAGGCGAAATGTGAGAGGTGGAAGAGGGCCCAACCCTTTAATGACGTAATAGAAAATCCCTTATGGTCGACCTCCGTAGATTATGTAAAGAAATAAATCCCCACGAGCCGACCCGCTGCGTATCATACGCCGCTATTTAGTTGTTTTTTTTTCTTCTACTTTTCAGTAATTTATAATTTGTGAATTCGACAGTACCAATGCTGCCATTGAAAATATTTGCTTAAAAACACTACCCCCCCCCCCCCCCCCACGTGAAAGCAGCCTCCTCTTAGTTACCTCCTCTAAGTTTAAAATCGTTTCTAACTAAATTATCTGCCCCTAATAGCCGTCACCAAACCCGTCTCTGTGATTGTAAAATGTAAACAGAGTGAACACAACTCACCAGACAATGTGGGGGCGGGGTGGGGGTGGTTGTGATATTGATATAGAGGAAGAGAGGGGACTGTAAGGCGAGGTTGCAGCTTGTTTTCTAACGGCTCGAAGAAGAGAATTATATATTACGAGCCGGCCCGCGGCATAACATACGCCTCTATTTAGTTGTTTCTAATTTTCAATAATTCATAATTTGTGAATTCGACAGTACCAACGCTGACACTGAAAATATTTCTTTAAAACACTATATATAAGTAGCTCGTTAAGGACCCATAACCCCCCCCCCCCTTCCTTCCCTCCCCCCCTCCTCCCCCCCCCCCCCCTACGTTTAAAATCGTTGGCTCTGCTTGTAAACATTTAGAGTGAACACAGCTCACTAAAACCATGTAGGGGTGGGGAGGTAGGGAGAGCGTTTGCAGCTTGTTTTCTAACGGCTCGAAGAAGAGAATTATATATATAGATAGATATTTCTTTTCAGCTGATCGTTCACAGGGAGATAACTATTTATTTCAGCACTAGTGAAAACGAGTTCACTCCCCTGTGTTTATTGAATATGTCCTGACCCGGCGCTTGTTTTAGTTATTCCGATTTCACTCAGGCAAGACGCGGCGGCGCGTGTTTTGTCTGCGCCGCGTCCGGTGTGTTGGGTTGGGTGAGCGAGTTGTTTGTTTTGACGGGGGGCAGTCGCGCGCTCCCTCGTCTGGACTGATCACGTGTCAAACCGCTTTCCACCTACCCCCATGTGATGCAATACGAGCTTGGTGTTTGGCACAACCAATCTCTGCAAAGAAAAGGTCTTTGAGAACTCAACTTCGAGTGCATCAAAACAAGACATAAAGCCGTGAATGAACCCCAAACACACTAGCGTATTAACATTTTCTTGAAGCAACATAAATTATTCTGCAGCCTTCCTTTAATATATATTTTAATATATATATATATATATATATATATATATATATATATATATATATATATATATATATATATATATATATATATAATATATATATATACCTTCATTTTTTAAGACCGTATGACCTGTTGGCGGCCATTTCTAGATACCACGAGAATACACTCGTGAATACAAACCTTCATAAATTGGTAGTGCTCTACTTCAGCCGTTAACAATTTTTTCAATTTGTCATAACCTAAAAACTCAAGCCCAAACCTGATCCAAATCCGAACTGAACCAAACTTATGATGGAATAAGTGTTGTCAATATCGATACCAAAAACTTCATGATTTTGGTTGAGGTTAGAAAATGGTTAATGATATTTAAGTCTTCGATTAATGTACGACCATTATTTTCTCATTGTCTTTCCACAGTCAGCCAGTAGGGCAGGACAAGCTACGGGAGGTAAGGGAAAAAACCTTTGTTGTTTTGATTAGCTCCCTTAGTTTATTTATATTCCATTCTATGGTTAATAAAGACATGGACAAATTGCCGTTATGAACAGAGTTTCTTCCCCCCGAAATTTTTTTACCGCCCCCCCCCCCCGAACGAAATGAAATTTATATAATTTATATAGAAAATATATACTTTTAACAGTGTCCGCTCCCCCGAAGAAAGTCTACCGCACCCCCCCCCCCCCCCCCCCCGAAAATTTCAAGTGCCCCCCCCCCCCCGGAGAAAAAAGTCTGGAAGAAACACTGGTTATGAAGTCTACGTTGGCACTAAAAACTAAAATTAAGTTTTGTGCCTGTCTAGTCCATAAAAGTTTCATTTCTTTAGCAGCTATGTGGATGTAACATATTTCAATAGCAGGGAGGACAAAACTAGTTTCTAGATCTATAATAACTGTTGTGTGAGAGTAGGGTGCGGACCCCGGGAAGGGTCGATACGCCTCTGGGGGGGGGTGATACCATTAAGTGCCGCACCGGGTGATACCTGACCTCGCTACGCCACTGTATATATATATATATATATATATATATATATATATATATATATATATATATATATATATATATATATATATATATATATATATATATATATATATGACCTATGTATATTTCCTTCACGGATTTTCCGCAGACAGTTTAAACGTTGAACAACTTGTAGCAGACGATACACTAGGTAGAACAAAAGTACAACGCCCCACTACATCACCTTGTCTCCAGGTAACAATTTTAAAAAAATATCTTTAATTATTTATTTTTTAGATCTCGATATCATTAATCCTGATCCTGACGTGTTTAAATAATATTTATATTCAATGCAATCTGTCTACTGTTTAAGGGAGGTAAAGAGTGATCGCTTGTGCTTCTATCAATTAAACAAGTTACTTCCCTTGACAAACTTTGTTCTATAAACTTGGTTTTTTTTTTTTTTTTTTTAAATATTAGTTTTAACAGTTAATAATTTGTTTGTCTCGCTTGTTTCAAAATCAAACATGTATTTTGACTATTAAAACACAATTATTTTTATGCTGAACATGTTATCGTGCACAATGCTTTCTACTTAGCTAAAATTTTTAATTAAATTTTCCTAAAGAACCGAAGTCTACAGAATGCCTACAACACCAGGGCGAAAGAAGGGTTCCGCTACTGGAATATCGACAGGCCCAAGCCCACCCAATGTAAGATGTCACTTTTTCTTCGTTAAATCATGCGGTGAATCCCTAAACTTATTGAATATTAAACTTTGTGCAATTTCTTTTGTTCTCTATGGAAGATGGTGTTTACGAGAAGAAAAAAAAAATATTTTTACCTCAATATTAAATATACGATGGACAACGTGGTTTAGCGGTAGAGCGCTAGATTGCTAACCCCAGTTCGAATCCGTGCTCAAATCAATAAACGTCCGTGAGTTCACCCAGCTCTGATGGGTACCTAACTCACGTTAAGGAAAATAAAGACAGCTGGGCATAGTGCTGACCACACAATCCCTTCATACGCCGAGGTCATTGTAACAGATGAACTCTACTTCATCTGCCCCAACTATCTTAGGCACGAACCGGAAAATTTGATGATGATCAAACGTTAATTTTGGAAAACAGATGCGCTTTATAGGTGCACTTAGTTATAAAAATACTCCCAATTGATTTCCAAAATATACTTTTTTTTTAAATTTGCTAGTTTATTATTGGTTCAGATAATAATTTATAATAGGAACTATTTCCTATTTTTATTCTGGTGATTACATTTTTCTATCAGTTGGTAAATACGGTCTCGGCTCGTACAAGATGTTTCTTGGCATAGGCTCCGCGCCCAGGACCTGAGTTCAAATCCTATCAGTGCACAACACAACAAGACATATTTTTTTTAAAGCTGGATATTTCAAAATTTGAAAAAAAAAACAGTAGAAGAAACATTCATTTTAAACAAGTTTATTGCCAAATTTACATATTAAATAAATGAGATTGTAACAATTTTTTTGGTAACTTTGTTTTAAATTGTGTGTCAAAATATAAAAATAATCCAATAATTGGTTGGCGTCTGTGTATTGTCTTTCCAGCAAAATGTACATCAAATCCCCCGAAAATGTCATATCAAGTCGACATTAAAAGTCATGACATTGAAAGTCATACTATATTAACATCAAATGTCATGTCAGCATCAAATGTCATGTCAGCATCAAATGTCATGACATTGAAAGTCATACTATATTGACATCAAATGTCATGTCAGCATCAAATGCCATTTCAGCATCAAATGTCATGACATGTTATCATCAAACGTCATAAACCCAAAGTCACAAATTTCTCTTACAAAATCACATACATTTTACACACACAGACGAAACAAATGTTGGGGCCAGTTGATTTGTCCAAACAACAAGGACGAAGCAAAGTGTCCTCAGAATTAGGCATCAAATGTCCTTCGAAGGACACATTAAAGTGTCCTATAAGGACCCATCCAATGTCTTACAAGGACGCATCAAATTGTCTTACAATAAGGCATCAAAGACGCATACAATGTTTTACAATACATGGACGCATCAAATGACCTTCAATGAAGCATCTGATGTCCAACAAGGAAGCGTCAAATGTCCTCATTAACACTTAAAATGTCCCAACAACGGACGATCTAACGCCCAAACAAGAAAGCATCACATGATTTAAAATAGATTTAAAAAATATGATATGCATCTCAGCTACCGAGTTCATACCATACAGAGTCACTGAAGGCATGATCATCATTTGACCTCACATATATACAAGCATTCCATGTAAGCAATAGTAAACAACATATATATATATATATATATATATATATATATATATATATATATATATATATATATATATATATATATATATATATATATATATATATATGATTAATACATTTTAGCATTTGTTAGAAGCAATTAATTCATTATATTATAAACATAATTCAATACACATGATTTTACATTCCAATTGAGGTTTAAAACATTAAGGCAGAAAATGGAACCATAACATCAGCAATTATATTCGTTGTGACAAGTATTTGCTGTGAAATTTTAAAATTTACAATGGCAGTAGAGATGTAGGATCAAGAATGTAATCTTCATCTCCAGATAATCTATTAAAACAATTGTTTTGCTGTTTTTTTTTAAATAAAATTAAGCTTAGGCTTATAAATGATTTATCAATGAGTCCTCTTTTTAATCCTCTTTTTAAAGTCTTGTCAAAGTTCAAAGGAGAAAGGGATGATGGAATAAGATAAACATCTGTTAGCTTTTCTAATTAAATAGATCTAAAACTAACCATCGCAATCTTTATACTAATTAATTTATAAGTATTTTTTTTATCATCTTTCTAAAAAAAGATTTTTTTTTTCCAAAAATGAAAGCTTCTAGTTAGGTATACATAGAGTCTTGACGAACTATCTAGGCAATGTCACAACATGAATTAAACTTTCAAAAATTTCACGTAAGCGTTTTTATTAACTCTAGTAAGATTTTAGTATAGGACAATTTAGATAGGAAACCCGTGTCTATTGGGAAAAAAGCCAGAAAAAAGTTATTTTCCTATAATGTAAAGTCTTTCTGAGGCTCGTTTGAAAAAACAACAACAACCAAAACTTAGTAATACTTCGATGGATCTTGTCAAAACCCACTTATTTCTCTACACAAACCCCTAACCCTAAGCTTTAAATTAGTAGTGATGGTGGTACACAATAATACACTGGTATCATTTTGTATTGTATGTATATAACATGGGCATCCTAATATATATTATAACACACTAATAAAACAAAATTTTGCATGTGACATCGTAATACAAACAAAATAACGCAGGAAACGCCCTAACAAAACAGATTGAAGCATGTAAAAATGTAATACAATTTAAAGATGCGCTTAACACGATAATACAACTAAATGATGCATATAAAACCTAATACAACAAATTAATGCGATTAACCTAATTATCCCACGAGCACATTTAACCGGCTAATTTTCCACGGAGTGTAAACATATCGAGGTAGCCATGTTCCTTTTGTTTTTATAAAAACTTGTTGAAAATATTTCATAATCGTGTCGTCTGCAACACGCATGAAACCAACATCAAAATTTGTCACTCAAACGACATCAACATTCTCAAAACCAAGAGAGGCCATCTTAAACACACGTTTATCTAGAATCGTAATTCCATCTAACGGTATCTTGATAACTCAATCCCGCTATCCGGAGTCCATCACATACCACTATTCGCCAGTTAAAAAAAAACACTATCCGGAGTCCGCAAAATACCTCTTTCCGCCCGCACAATCCCACTATCCGGAGTCTATCACATACCACTACTCGCCAGTTAAAAAAACACTATCCGGAGTCCGCAAAATACCACTTTCCACCCGCACAATCCCACTATCTGGAGTCAACAAAATAGCAGATTACACGAGCACATCGACACCATTAGGAGTCCAACAAAAATTCCTCTTACCGCCCGCACAAAAACTGTATCCAGAATCCTTCTAAAAACCACCTTCCATCCGCACTAACCCATTTTCAAAGTCAACACAAATACCACTTTCCACCCGAACAATTCTACTATCCGGAGTCAACCAAATACCACCTTCCATCCGCACTACACCACTATCAAAGTCAAAACAAATACCACCTTCTACCAACATCAACCCACCATCATAGTCCATCAAATACCACCTTCCATCCAGACTAAACCATTATCAAAGTCAACACAAATACCACCTTCATCCAGCATTAACCCACCATCATAGTCCACCAAATACCACCTTCCATCCAGACTAAACCATTATCAAAGTCAACACAAATACCATCTTCTACCAGCATCAACCCACCATCATAGTCCACCAAATACCGCCTTCCATCCAGACTAAACCATTATCAAAGTCAACACAAATACCACCTTCTACCAGCACCAAACCTCCATCAAAGTCCACCGAATACCACCTTCCATACGCACTACACCACTATCAAAGTCAACACAAATACCACCCTCTACCAACACCAACCCCGCATCAAAGTCCACCGAATACCACTTTCCATACGCACTACACCACTATCAAAGTCAACACAAATACCACCCTCTACCAACACCAACCCCGCATCAAAGTCCACCGAATACCACTTTCCATACGCACTACACCACTATCAAAGTCAACACAAATACCACCTTCTACCAACACCAACCCCCCAATCAACGTCCACCGAATACCACCTACCACCGCCACAAAAACCACTATCAGGAGTCCAGTTTGGCGGGGGTGGACACGCCCTTGCACGTGTGCAGCTCGACTTCCTGCTCACAGTCCTTGCAGACGACCGAGCAGCACCAATGGAACTTGCACTCACACTTGAACTGCTGTTTGACGTTGTAGGTGTGGTAGCCACGCCCACAGCACATGATGTCACAGCCGTCCGTGCCCATGGAGGATTTGTTGCAGGGTCGGCCCTCGGTGCCGAGTGATCCTGGAACAGTAGAGAGGGGGAGTGGTCAGTTCATATAGAGGGAGTGGTCTATTCTTATAGAGGGTGTGGTCTATTCTTATAGAGGGTGTGGTCAATTCATATAGAGGGTGTGGTCAATTCATATAGAGGGAGTGGTCAATTCATATAGAGGGTGTGGTCAATTCATATAGAGGGAGTGGTCTATTCTTATAGAGGGAGTGTTAAATTTTTATAGAGAGAGTGGTCTATTCATCTAGACCAGGGGTCTCCAAACTACGGCCCGCGGGCCGGATGCGGCCCGCGAGGTCCTCTCATCCGGCCCGCGGAGATCTTTTTGTCCACGGAAAAAAACATTTGTTGGTGATGGCTGAGGAACTTTGCCCAGAAAATCAAAGACATGCCTGGAAGAAACTGGCCCCCGAACTGAACTTTGATAGTCAATGCGGCCTTCGGGCTGAAAAGTTTGGAGACCCCAGATCTAGACTCATTCTAGAGGGAGTGTTAAATTTGTATAGAGAGAGTGGTCTATTCTTATAGAGGGAGTTGTCAATTCATATAAATAGCGTGAGTAGTTAATTTATATGAATATAGTGTGTGGTTAATAATACATAAAAATATAGCGAGTGTTCAATGTATAAAACTTTAGTGTGAGGCCCTTCATGCAAATGTGATGAGATATCCCTTTATTGTGTCAACATAAATGCAATAAATATAATCTGTGGTTTATTGGAGGGTAAATTAGAAAACCAATAAATTCTTGATTATCTAAAGTTGTTATGTCAAAGCTTAGGACTAGTACTTCGGCGTGTATTGTGTAGAGTGTTCGTGCCGTGTAGGTCATGCCACTTTAAGCTTAAGAATTTTCTAAGCTCATTCTCGTACTTCCAGTGTGTTAAAAATGCGCAAATTACGATTTCAAATTAGTCACCTACACATTTGCAGAGTAGGGGTGGCGAGGGGGTGGTGGCTGTTATAAGTCACAAGCCAATGTAACATGTGACTGTCGCGTAGCTACGGTCTATCAAAGAGCGACTGTCATTTTTTTCTTCTATTGATGGGCTACTAATACAATGAAAAGCCATTAAAAAGCCATACAATTGTGTATTAAACATACACAACGTGTGCGGTCTCCAGACACTCCCATTGAATACAACATCCCCACTCACATCTTTAATCAATATTTTTTTAAGTAAGAATAGAAATGTATCAATAGTTCTTGTTTTCAAAATTAATTGGAAAACGAAACAGAACTTCGTTTTGACGCTTTCCCGTGCCAACACTCGATTATACCATCCCCACTCACATTTATAATCAATATTTTAAATTAAGAAGAGAAATTCATAATATTTTTAAAAATTAATTGGAAAATGAAACATAATTTCATTTGACGCTTTGGTGTAACAAAACTTGGGAGCCGTTTTAGCGAGAGCCCGGAAGACCAGGGCCATCACCACTTTCATTCGACTTTCATACCTCGTGAACACACCTCTATAGTTTACCAGCAGGGGTTGGTGGGAGGTTGAAAGGTGGAACGAATTCGTTTTCATTATCAGCTCAAAATGAATGTTTACTCCATTCAAATTCCAAAAAAAAAAAAAAAAAAAATGGACACACAGGCCGATGTATCGTGTCAGCATAAAAACCTTTACAATTTTTTTTTTAAGAAAACATTTCATTTCGTTTTTAGGTGGATAAACTTGATGGATTAACCGTAGAAGGGAGGCAACTCCCGCGGCGTTTGAAATTGAAACTGATAAATCACACAGTCTAGATGCTTAAAGCAATGTCATAGGAACAGTCTGGTTTTCTTAAAGCAATACCTTGGAGCCGACCGAATCGTGAAAAAAAAAAAAACAATTTTAAAAAAACGCTTTTTCATTTTCGGGTGAATTCAGGTATATGATTCTCCCAACCCACGGGGTACTTAGTCGCTCCCTAGTGCGGGCTACCTGACAGGTAGCAATGCCTGGCTCGCGTTGAGGTAGCTGAATATCTCGACAAATTAATTCCGCCATTTCAGAACCGCGCGGGCGGGGGTGGGTCGGTCGTCTAAACACCTTTACCTGTCTTTTGTTGAAGGTGTTTACAATGATCAGCCAGTGGTGTTTACTGCGATTTAGCCGGCTATTGTAGTGTTTATTAGCGCTATTTCCTCCACGCGATGGGGGGCGGCCGGAGGGATAAGATTGCAGAAAGGGAATTAAGGAAAGACTGATGGCGAAATATGAAGACGAATAGTCAGAGGGAATAAAGAAAAAAAGAGAGACATAGAAAGAAGAAAAAATAAAGAAGAAAGAAAGAAGTAAGAAGGACATAAAGAGGAAAAGAAAAAAGATGGAATGATAGCTAAAGAAAAGAATGAATTAAACAATGGTCGCGAAGATAAGAAAAAAGAAGGAAAGACAAAAGAAAATATAAAAAAAAACAAGTATGAAGAAATGCGAAATGACAGAAAGTAGGGAATAAACGATGGATGATAGAAAGAGTAAGGTATTATAGGAATACAGCAAGCTAAAATGGGTCCGACTTAACATAGTTTTAACAATCAAATGGGAATAACAGAGAATCCAGCTTCCGTGTTCCGTAGTGTTTACTTAGTTGTAAGACACACGACGTTGATTACATCGATGTTAGTGAAGGAACCACCATGGGGGCGAATCGGGCCATGGCTCAGGGGCCTTTTTAGTTCATGATTCTACTACAAATTTATTTTTTGTTTGTTTTTCTTTTTCTTCCGTTTTATATAAAATAAAATAAACAATCGTAAATACATAATTACATAGAATTTAATCTGCGAGTAAACAGGAGGCACCTTTATAGAACAAACCTAAAACAAACAATAAACTAAACCCAATGAGACCAAAAAAAACAACCCAGAACCTAATGCCAAGCCTCACCACAATCCTGTAACTATCACCACCAGAGACCGGATCTAAGTATATAATCTTGTGTCTACCGCTAGACCAAGCTGTCCCCAGAGTTTCTTCCAAATTTTTACCGCCCCCCCCCCCCCCCCCGAACGCCCGAACGAAATGAAATTTATATAATTTATATAGAAAATATATACTTTTAACAGTGTCCGCCCCCCCCCCCCCTCCGAAGAAAGTCTACCGCCCCCCGAAAATTTCCATTGCCCCCCCCCCCCCCCCCGGAGAAAAAAGTCTGGAAGAAACACTGGCTGTCCCAATTCCTGTGTTACTACACACTATTTATCTTTTTATTAGGACATAGTTGAAATATTTTCTCTTTTACCATTTTTATGTAAAATTTTTAATCTGCATCTCTCTTTTACCTAACCACCCATCCCACCTTTTAAAAAAAAAACCCACGATTAAATTTCTTGATAAATAACAGTAGTCAGCGTGACAGCCGATTGTTTCCTTACACTATGATATTTCCCGCCCCGGGGAACCAGCTCCGGGGGGTCCTAAGAGGGGTCAGGTGACCCGGGTTAGACCCCCACTTCCATGCGTGGCGTCCAATGCTAGATCGCATTTCACCGCATGCATGATGGGACATGTCCCCCACAGCAAGATTAACGAGCTCCATGCGCATGACCGAACTGGAACCCGCCCCGCCCCTTCTCACTGTCTACTACCACCCACGGGCTGCATATCGTCATTCTCCGCTTGCATGTCAAACCACGTCTTCAAAAGCCAGATGATATAACCCATCTATCTACTACAGCCAGATGACATAAGTCTTCTACAGCCACATATTATGACCCATCTACAGCTAGATGACATAAATCCTACATCTATGATTTCTTAACATTTCATCTTCTTGCTACATCAACCATCATGTATTCGTCAAGAGTTTCTTTTTAGGCATCTCTTCGAGAAGAGCTTCTGCCCCCCCCCCCTACCCCCTACATACACATAATTTTCAAAACTCCCCCCCCCCCCCTATTTTTTTAATGTTCTAGAATATCATCAATAATAAAGGAACCTGTACTAATCCTATGACGAGATCTCGTTATTTAAACGTGATGTACAACTAAATCTCGTATAGCAGTAATCTATATAGGAAAAAGACAACAACAAAAAAACTTCAAAATCAAACAAATGACTGATTGAAGATTGTTCTTGGGATGGACAAAAGTTGTAGAATCAAATCCAGAAAAGGAGTTTCTTTCAGGCATCTCATTGCCCCCCCCCCCCCCAACCCTAGCGATGAACATCTAACGCCCCCTGGTAGAATTATAAAATAAATTCATTGACCAGAGTCCACGCCTCTCCGTTACAAAATAAGTTCGTCACCCCCCCCCCCCCATGTCACAAGCCCCTACCCCTACGTTTCATGTGCCGCCTTCCCTCCATCCGGTAAGAAAGAATATCTGAAGAAACCGTTCTTAAGGAAAAGCATTCTGGAGTCGAGAGTCACCGAGTCATGTTGACATGTAATACTTAATTGTGTTGGAGGAAATCCCCCGTCCAATATTATACAATACAGAACGGAGAAGAAACAATAAACAGATAATAACAAAAGGGTTAAGAAATGTGATTTATACCTAGTATTAAATTTCTAATGTTATTTTTTTTTCTTCATTTCGATTGTTGAGAAAGACGGTCTAGACACGAGAATAAGCACCGTGTCAGATCACCCACTACAAAACATGCAGCCCCTAGATCGGTCTTCTGTTTACACCGTACGCCAAATGCTTTTTTAAAAAACTTCTCTCCCCTTGTCTCTCTATTTTAAAAAAAGAATTCTCTCCCCTTTCTCCACTCGATCCCCTTGACGTTACGTGGCTAGTTATTTAGCCGGCGAGACGCGCGCGCAGCAGGAAATTGACAGTTGTTCTAGGTACCCTGCGAGTTGTCAATTCCCCGTGTCTGGACAACAGGTGCGCATGTCAGGAAGCTCTGCTCTCGCTGCGCGCGCATTCTTTTCATTTTGGCAAAGGGATTGTTTAAAAACAGAACGGAACGGGATTCCCCCATTGTTTGACATCGACGCGACCACACCTCGGAATAAAAGACGGGATATTTTTTGAGACCGCGGCCTGTTATCGAAAGGGGTTTTTATTTTTGTTCGCGTACGTTATAGAAAATAAAAATTGTTGCCGCAATCCGTGTACAGGTAATCACGTGGTCTAATGAAAATGTCAGCCGCCTTAAAGTTCATTCGAAAATCGGATAATTTTTTTTTTGGTTCGGTACGGTTTTTAGACAAACGGCAGGTTAAGATTTAAGGGTTAGAGTTAAGTTGAATAGCTAAACATGAACGTATGAGGTTAGGGCTGGGGTTATGGCAGAGGCGTAGCGACCCTTCCCGGCGCCCGGGGACAAACTTTCGATTTGCACCCCCCACCCTCAAGATTTCAATTTGCACCCCCCCCCCCTCAAGCTTTCAATTTATTTTTCCAACCCATTTTGGCGCCCCCTAAGGTCGGCGCCCGTCGACATATGTCCCCGCCCCCCCCCCCCTCGCTACGCCTCTGGGTTATGGTAAGAGTTTAAAAAATTGAGAATTTTTTTCAGATCAGAAAGTTATTAGATTTATAGCTGATTTAAAGTTAATGATTAGTGTGGAGTTTAGATTATGTCTTTTTTAAAAAAGTTTAGTTAAAGTTAAACATAGAAATACGTTCTAGAAAGTTTAAAATCTAGTTTTTGGACAGAAATCGTGACTAAAGTGTTTACAAAATACGTCACGGCGTCAGTTTTGACGTGTGAATGACGTCATCCCTGACGTATTTATGACCCAATAACCCGAACGGGAGCAGGATACTACCCCCCCCCCCAGTCTATTACACTCCGGTCATTTCCTCACCGTCACTACCCCCCCCCCCCCCAAATATCAATTACTCCCTCGTTAATTACCCAATCTTGCGCGGCCGAAAAACTGCTGTCGGGCTTTATCTAATAAAAATAGGTTTAGGGTTAGGTTAAGGATAGGTTAAGGATAAATCCGGGAAAGGATTTGGGATGTGAATATGTTTGGGCAGTGGTTTTTAACCTTTTTGGAGGTTCCGAACCCCCAATAGTTTCATACGCATAATATCCACATTGACAAAATCCGATCGTGAATCACATGAGTCGGGAGTGTTTATTGATTATTGATCTCCGCCAAACTCCGAAGAACGACTCGTCGAATTCTTGGGGTTTGAACAAACCCAGGTTAAGAAGCGCCGGCATTATGTTAAAAATATGATTAGGGTATGGGAAAGGGACTTGGAAATGGATAGGGATACGTATGTATAATACGCATTCTCGTATGGTGAGAGGGGAAGGGGGGGGGGGGTCGACAATGAGGAAATGACCGGAGAGGGGGTAATGTCCTAGACCCTAACCAACCAACGCCTCCTCCCCCCCCCCCCTCCCCTCCCCCCTCTCCCCTCCCCCCTCCACTTGAACTCACCAACTTCCGTGTTCTCCACACAATAATCCGGGGATGTCTCCAGATAGACCAGGTCTGAGCGCGTGGGTTTCTTGTGGTGCTTGTTGGCCACCGTGAGACTGGCGCCGTTCTGCTTCATCATCACCTGGGTGGCACCGTTGTACTGGTTCTTCAGGTGGGCGCCCACCTGCCGGAACTCCTGCATCGCCTGCCAGCAGGTCCTGATTGTGCAGGAGCCGCTCACGCCGTGGCACTTGCACTCCAGTTTCCGGAACTTTCGCACGGCCTGGGGGTACAGAGGACATAAGGGGGTTTTGTTAGAGAACTTACTGGAGTCTATACAAGTTGGATTAATTCGGGAACTTTCGCACGGCCTGGGGGTACAGAGGATATGTTTGACTTTGTTAAAGAGCGTTCTGGAAATCTATAAACGTTGAATTTTGTTCTGGAACTTTCTCACAGCCTGGGGGTATAGACAAGGGATATTTTTTTCAGAACCGAGTAGCGGGCTATAGTAATGTTCGGTTCTCATGGCAGGGGAGGTAGAGTTCACCTGCTTCCGCGCCGTCGGCATCTGAAGGGTTTGTTTGGTGAGCACTTTGCCCAGCCGACGCTACTTTCCCTAACGTGAGTCATATACCCATCAGAGCTGGGTGGACTCGAACTAGAGACTTTCAGATTAGCAGTCGAACGCTCTACCATTCAGCCACACTCTCCCATTCTAGCAGGCTATACAAGTTAGATCTTGTTCCAGAGCCTGCTAAACAGGCTGGGGATACAGAGGACACAATATTTTTGTTGTTCCAGAACGTTCTTACTTCAGACTAAAAAAAACCTGACTTAACTTCTGGAAAAAAACACTTGACACACCTGCCCCGACCGAACCACCTGATCTTACATCCACCCAACCCCCCCCCCCCCCAACCGTACAACCGGCAAAAAACTCCCGGCTTACCTTACGTCCGGCCCTGTTGTTGTGGAGGTTCATCAAAGTCCTCCCGTCCCTCTGCTTCCTCTCCTTGGCGTCGATGAACTTCCGGGTGAACGTGCTGCCGTACTCCACGTTGTCGGAGCAGCCGCCCCACTCGAACCCTCCCCTCTTGTCCCGGTCCGGACCCCTCTTCTTGGGGTCGCACGCGCAGTCTGAGAGTTGTCCCTTGCTGCAGGCGCGGGTGATGGCGTGGACCACCCCGGCGGACGAGACGGCGTAGACGAAGGCGGCTTCACGGCTCCCTGGGGGGGGGGGGGGAGAGGTGGGTTAGGTGAGGCTGGTCAGGATGTGTGAGTCAGTAGTAGGGGAGTCAGGAGTGGGGGAGTCAGTAGTGGGAAAGTCAGGAGTGGGAGAGTCAGGAGTGGGAGAGTCAATAGTGGGAGAGAGTCAGGAGTGGGAGTGTCAGGAGTGGAAGAGTCAGGAGTAGGAGAGTCAGGAGTGGGAAAGAGTCAGGAGTGGGAGAGAGTCAGGAGTGGTAGAGAGTCAGGAGTGGGAGAGTCAGGAGTGGGAGAGAGTCAGGAGTGGGAGAGTCAGGGGTGGGAGAGAGTCAGGAGTGGGAGAGTCAGGGGTGGGAGAGAGTCAGGAGTGGGAGAGAGTCACGAGTGGGAGTGTCAGGAGTGAGAGGGTCAGGAGTGGGAGAGAGTCGGGAGTGGGAGAGTCAGGAGTGGGAGAGAGTCAGGAGTGGGAGAGAGTCAGTAGTGGGAGAGTCAGGAGTGAAAGTGTCAGGAGTGGGAGAGTCAGGAGTGGAAGAGTCTGGAGTGGGAGTGTCGGGAGCGGGAGAGTAAGGAGTGGGAGAGAGTCAGGAGTGGGAGAGTCAGGAGTGGGAGAGTCAGGAGTGGGAGAGAGTCAGTAGTGGGAGAGTCAGGAGTGGGAGAGAGTCAGTAGTGGGAGAGTCAGGAGTGGGAGAGTCAGGAGCTGGAAAGTCCAAAGTGGGAGAGTCAGGATTGGGTGAGTCAGAAGTTGGATAGTCAGGAGTGGGAGAGTCAGGAGTGGGAGAGTCAGGAGTGGGAGAGTCAGGAGTGGGAGTGTCAGGAGTGGAAGAGTCAGGAGTGAGAGTGTCAGGAGCTGGAAAGTCCAAAGTGGGAGAGTCAGGAGTGGGAGAGTCAGGAGCTGGAAAGTCCAAAGTGGAAGAGTCAGGAGTGGGTGAGTCAGAAGTTGGATAGTCAGGAGTGGGAGAGAGTTGGAGTCAGCAGTGGGAGAGTCAGGATTTGGAAAGTCAGTAGTGGGAGAGTCAGGAGTGGAAGAGAGTTAGAGAGTCAGCAGTGGGAGAGTCAGGATTGGGAGAGTCAGGAGTGGGAGAGAGTCGGGAGTGGGAAAGTCAGTTGTGTGAGAGTTCTTAGTATAAGTGTTAGAGTCAGTAATTTAGTCAGTAGTGATATAGTCAGTATCACCTTTGAGTATCACCTTCCCATAAAACAACTGCTCACCTTTGAGTATCACCTTCCCATAAAACAACTGCTCACCTTCCCATAAAACAACTGCTCACCTTTGAGTATCACCTTCCCGAACAACGAGGTATCCCGGTTGACCGTACTGCAGTTCCAGCGATGGTACCGGAAGTGGAACTGGCACTCCTCCACCCCCAGCCTGGCGCCCTCCCCCAGGGAGACCATGACGTCAGGATAGCGACGACATAGCTTCTTCTGGCGCCCTATGAGACCCGGGATGTTGTCACACACTACCACACCGGCTCCTATGGCATTGATGTTCAGTTGACTGACGAACCTGAAACAGAGGTCAAAGTTCAAAGTTCATTGTGTAACGCCCCCCACTTCCAACATCATTGATAGTGATTTTCAGCTCTCTTCGCTAGTATATTTAAGTCATCGGTTCTTTTAAAAGAAAACTCATGCCAAAAAGCGCAGTAACCCACATAAGAACGACAACTCCGGTAAACAAAGGCTATGTAACTTAAACGGTATGGACTTAAGAGACCTGAGTCTCCCACTACAAAATCATTTCTTTCTTTTAACTCTTTTGAAACAATCCTTAATATCTTAAATGTATACTCCTTGCTTTGCTTTGTTTGTTATTGTGTGTGTGTGTGTGCGTGCGTGCTTGCTTGCGTTTATGTGTGCGTCCGTGTGTGTGTGCGTGCGTGTGTGTGTGTGCGCGTGCGTGCGTTTGTGTGTGTGTGTGTGTGTGTATGTGTATGTGTGCATGCTAAAAACACAATTGTCGTTAGTTGATCGAGTTATTTTTTCAGGATTAAGTACCACCCAATCCCCCACAACACAGGTTCCACCCCCTCTCCCCCATCCCACCCACCACCCAGCACTGACTTTGAATAGAAAACTAAACTAGTTTTTTTTTATCATCAAAACATGTGGATTAGTGTTGCAACCGACTTCGTACCTTTACCAAGAGAAATTCTTCATTGATGACGAGTTTTAGTTTTTTATATGGTGTGAGAAGAAAAACAAAGAATTAATTAGTACATAACCCTTAAATCTCAGTAAAATACATGTATTCATAGCAATCTTAACAACTGTACAGTGTTTCTGTTTATGGCCCTGTAATGGACAGGGCAATTTTTCTGTTTATGGCTTGTATTGAACACAGTGTTTCTTCCAGACTTTTTTCTCCGGGGGGGCACTTGAAATCTTCGGGGGGGGGGGCGGTAAACTTTCTTCGGGGGGGGGGGGGGTGGACACTGTTAAAAGTATATATTTTCTATATAAATTATATAAATTTCATTTCGTTCGGGGGGGCGGTAAAAAAATTTCGGGGGATGCCTGGAAGAAACTCTGATTGGACAGGACAATTTTTCTGTTTATGGCAAATACTGGACAGGACAATTTTTCTGTTTGTGGAACTGTCATAGACAACAAAAATTCTCTGTAAATGAACCGGTTCTTAACAACAGCAGACATTTGTCTGTTTAGCCGAGGCAGGAGTTAGGCGAAACATGATGAATCTACTTGTCAACAACTCCTTGTTTGCTTTAGATTTGTTCGTCTGCTGTTAAAGACAAGTCATTAAACAGCAGACGTCACAGTTCACCCCGTACTCCCTTATGAAGGAATTCTGCAATTAAAATACTTTTACACTGGTTAAAATTGATTTTTTAATGTTTTTTTTTTAACGCTAGCAGTGTTGGAATCATACCGTCATGGCGGTGAACGCTATGAACTTGGCGGTATTTAGACAATCTGAGTCAAAGTTTTGATGTTTGAAAGGTTCTAAAATATTGAACAAACCTGCACTGTTGATAGTAGAAGAACCTAACATAAGTTAACATGTATGTGTTCGTAAAAAATATTTGACGGTTTCTAAAATGTTGAGGTTACACTGGTTAAAGTTCATTGGTCAGATGAAGTCCATCTGTTTGTGAGACCTCGGCATATTAAGGAGATACAGCCCACTCGCCATTTCCTAACGTGAGTCTGGTACCCACCAGAGTTTGGAAGACTCGTGGACGAACTGGACATCTCTCTGAGTTCATTCAGCTCTAATGGGTACCTGAATTACGATGGGGAAAGTAATGACGACTGGGCATAGTGCTGAAGACACTATCCGTTCAAATGCCGAGGTCAATAAACATCTGCCCATTAGATCGCTAGGTCTAAAGAAGAACTAAAGGTAGACCGAACCGAAAATATATATATATATATATATATATATATATATATATATATATATATATATATATATATATATATATATATATATATATATATATGTGTGTGTGTGTGTGAGTGTGTGTATAAATATATATATATATATATATATATATATATATATATATATATATATATATATATATATATATATATATATATATATGTGTATATATATCTATGAAAATAATGTATATGAATATATATATATATATATATATATATATATATATATATATATATATATATATATATATATATATATATATATATATATATATACATATCTTGTACCAAGAGAAAAGGTATGCATGTACCGGTGTATCAATCCACTTCATCCGTCAATGCCAATGCCACACCACCCACCTGAAGATGTAGGTAATGGATGCCTACATAAATATATCCCTCTCCATTACCCCCTGAATCGAATTGTTCCCTTCCATCATCTCGACGTTTTCTATTTGTCTACTCGACAGCGCTGTAAATTAGCTTCCCCCCCCCCCTTCTTCCTCCCTTCTCGTGAGATGATTCCTGCATGTAACAGTGGTAATGAAGGGGAAAAAAGGGCAGCGTTATCTCCCCTCCCTGCGGTACTCGTAAGGAACCGGATTAACCCTTGGAATGCCGTGAGGTTGAACAGACAGAACAGGTGTGAGAAATTGTTTTGTAATGATACGATCGGGTGACTCGCTGAGTCGTCTAGCCCGCAAATATTTGACGTGGATTCGATGACATGTTGTAACTAGTGATTTATGGAGTCACAAATACATGCATACATATATATATATATATATATATATATATATATATATATATATATATATATATATATATATATATATACAACACGCAAAACCTTCGTCACTAATCTTGTCAACGCTACCTATACAGGCGCTCGTTGATAGTAGGTAGTATCATTTCTTTCTTAATATTTTAATCCTTTTAAATTAACTATGCCGAGCTAAAAAAATGAAAGTGATTGTACAAATATGTACAGTATGGATTCACAGAACTTAATTAGCAATGCTAAGTTGATCAATTCTAGTCTAGCACCGGTAAAACTAAGAGAACACTTACTTAATAGTCGCATGGAGATGAAAAATACGAGAACTGAATTCAAATTTAAGCCACAAATTTCTAAACTGGCGCCCCTAAGGCATCAGCAGAAGTCCACTGATTAATTAATTAGTATAATTTTTTTTTTTTTTTGCTTTTGGTTGAAGATCATATTACCTGAGTTTTAAATTTGAATAAACAACCAGATTTTACTTTTATGTATGTGTGTATGTGTGTTGGTTGGTGGGTGAGTGGGTGTGTGTGGGTGTGTGTGGGTGTGGGTGGGTGTGGGTGTATATACATATCTTGAGGTTTCTATAATTTTATTTTTACTGCACTTAATAACAACAACACATTTTATCTGCTATATTTATCCGAATTTTAGCTGAATCTATAAAAAAAAATCCTAGTTATCTGACTCAGGTAGCGACCCCCTCAAACTTTAATCTGATCTGAAAAATATTTTAACTCACATTTTTTTTATTTCACAAAATGGAAAATTTTGAAATGTAAATGTAACTATAAACCAAACTATTTCCCTGCCCACGTTGAACTAATTTAGAACTTAAACGCATTTTTCCAACGATATTCACTATACTAAATTGTGATATAAATCGATAATAGCTTATGACTGTAAACTCACCACCAAGATCCTAACACCCCCCTTGACAGAATGACAATGATGAAGACTAAATTGTAAATGCAGGTTAGACTGCCACTGGGAGAGTTCATTCTGCGGGCGGCAGGGGTGAAAGCCTTGCATCTCTCTGGGTTGTTATGGGAGCCCTGACCATAACTGAAAACAAAAACAAAAGGGGTCAAAGGCTAAGGTTACTAAATTTAGAACTCTACAATGAAAGAAAAAAAGTAATGTTCATTGGTTGAAATGGAAACTTTAAAAATGTATTTTTAAATATTTTGTAGTGTGGTCAAGCAGTTGAACCAACGACTGCTAACTTAAAAGTCTCGACTTCGGTTCACGGGATGGAAACCATCGGACGTTTTTGAGCTCATCCAGTTCTGAAGAGTACCTGACTCAAATCGGGAAATGTAAAAGCGATCATGCTTAAAGCTGACCAGAGCATGGTGGTAAACGAAACAGCTGAGCTCTACTTCAGCAGACTCAGTAAAGGGTTGTCGAAGAAAAAAAAATAATTTTGTTTCTGCTCTTACTATTCAAAAAGAACAAAAAATTAGTTTTAAAAAAAAAGTAAAGTTCCTATTTCAAACGTTAATATCCATTAGGCAGATAAAGTAGAGTTCATGTTTCTTGACCTAGGCATGTAAAACGATGGTGTGATCAGCGCTAGGCCCAGCCGCCTTTACTTCCCCTAACGTAAGTCAGGTACTCTTTAGAGCTGGGTGGACTCAGGGATGTCCTATACTCGCGAGTTGGGACCGAGATCCGAACTCGGACTAGCAGTCGTGGGCAGGAAGTTAATGAGAGGAGTTATGTTTGCAGTAATGATTGATCAAGAACAGCCACTAAGACATTTTCATTTACCTTAATTAAGGGATTGAGTGATGCCATCCTTAATTAACATCTAGCATTTGAGAAAGGGGAGGGAGGTCTGTTTTTTTTCTACGATTTGTAATGTGGATGTTAATTGATGGGGAAGGTGCTATTTGTAATAATAATAAAATAAAGATGCATTGCGTGTTAACATACATTTATGTTTTTTTTTTAATCATACTGGGGGAGTATGATTTTTTGACGCCATTTTTAAGGAGGGGGTAGGGTCTGGCTTAGTGCTACAATGTAAGACATAAAGGACATTATAACAACAACAAAAACACACCAACAACACCAACAGTAAAAATAAAAAGCGTACTACGAGTAAGGGAGATAACTGATTGTCTAGACCAGAGTGTGCGTGTGCGTGCATGCGTGCGTGTGTGCGTGTGTGTGTATGTGCGTGCGTGTGTGTGCGTGTGTTTGTGCGTGCGTGCGTGCGTGTATGTGTATGTGTGTGTGTGTGTGTGCGTGTGTGTATGCGTGTGTGTGTGTGCGTGTTTGTTTGTGTGTGTGTATGAGTGTGTGATATATTGTAAGTTGATCCGTAGCTCATGTGTATGCGTACTTCCCATAACACCCGTATGAGTACTTCCCATAACATTCGTGTGAGTACTTCCCATAACAACTAGAAGCGTGTTCACCATCCTACCTATATCTCTGGCATTGTCTTCCTTGGCCCGTGTGCTACAAAGATCCCATGTTCGCCTTATCGACCTCAGGATAATTTACCATTGGCGGATGGAGCAGATCTTGGTAGATAACGCTAGCAATGATATATCAGACTAGGTAAGCGGCGGATCTAACGTTGTTCCCGGTGTAGAAGACAACTTTTTAACCCAGGAAAATATTCTTAAATGTCGTGGGGGAGGGGGGGATGTCGACATAAGGCCTAGTGTATCCCATGTTTTGAATGTATTCGTGGATTCCATATTTTGGTGTATCCCATATAGCCTACTTTATCTGATATAGTTGCGTTTTTTTTATACGAAGGAAAATAAGGTAGTTGAGATTAGCGGCCCAGGTAATGGAGATTATTTTCACAGGTAGTGGAGATGAGCAGCGCGTGTAGAGATTATCTTCACGGTGGAGATTATCTTCACAGGTAATGGAGATTAGCTGCACATGAAGTGGAGATTATCTTCACATGACGTGGAGATTATCTTCACATGAAGTGGAGATTATCGTCATAGGTAGTGTAGATTACCGTTAGTGGTAGTGTAGATTATAGGCACAGGTAGTAGAGATTAGCTGCACGGGTGGTGGAGATTAGCTGCACAGGTAGTAGAGATTATCTGCACAGGTAGTCCAGATAAGCCCCAAACAATAAAAAGTACAGATCAAGGTGTACAATAAAACTACGGTTGTATTGACCGAACTTTAACAGCTGATCATTCAAGATGGAGGAAGTTTTTAAAATAAACCTGAACACGTGAGGAGAGTGGGGGGTCGAAGGTAAAATACCTGGTGTGTGATTGTATTGATAAGGTCAAAGGTGAGTACAAGTTAAATAATGTGTGCTCTGTTGTTTGGGGCGGTGAGGGTGGGCAGGTTGGTTTTACTCAATCAAAGTTGGTCGATTTTGTTTTTACAAGGTGGGAGCTAGGAGTCAGGGCTACAGGCAGGAGTCAGGGCTAGTAGGGAGTCAGGGCTAGTCAGGGCTAATCAGGAGTCAGGGCTAGTCAGGGCTAGTCAGGGCTAATCAGGAGTCAGGGCTAGTTAGGAGTCAGGGCTAATCAGGAGTCAGGGCTAGTCAGGGCTAGTCAGGGCTAATCAGGAGTCAGGGCTAGTTAGGAGTCAGGGCTAATCAGGAGTCAGGGCTAGTTAGGAGTCAGGGCTAATCAGGAGTCAGGGATAGTCAGGGCTAGTCAGGGCTAATCAGGAGTCAGTGCTAGCCAGGAGTCAGGGCTAGTCAGGAGTCAGTGCTAGTCAGGCGTCGGGCTACATTTAGGACTCATGACTGTAGCCCTGAGTCAAGTCTACAGTCGGGAGTCAGGGCTACAGTCGGGAGTCGAGGCTACAGTCGGGAGTCGAGGCTACAGTCGGGAGTCGAGGCTACAGTCGGGATTCGGGGTTAGAGTCAGGAGTCAATTTGAATCAATTTTTAAAAATACATTTATTTGATTTAGTAAAGCCTATGGACATAACAGAGGTACCTCCACATACGAATGCCTTAACATTCAAATTTGTTAAGATACCAGCAGTCGATGGAGCGATATTTTGCTGTGAAAGACGAGCACAATTTGAGATACGAGGAGCTTTAAGCACTATAGCATTATTTAGTGTATAAATTTCAATGAACTTTAATCAAAGTCCACGGCATTGGGGGATCAAATTGTAACATTAACAATGTAACAAGTGAATTAAAGTGAGCGAAATACTGAACAACATTGTGAGAAAGTGAACAAAGTGAAGCTCCCCACCCCACCCCCCCCCCTACCCCTCCATCCTACACCTCCGCCAGCATCTTCCATAAGCTCGAGTAGGCTGATTTTCAAGGTAAATACATTTCATAGTTTAGTTTTTAAACTAAATTTATTTTTTATAACATCAGTTTTCTTATTTAAGAAACACGTAACGAAAACAACTAGGGTGGTATATTTTGGGGGTTTGAACGGATTCATGGCATTGTAATTAATTTTATTGGAGAAAATAAACGACAGTACTAAAATCACATGAGCATCAAATAAACGAATTCATATCTGTGAAATGGTACACAAAAAGGTACTTTATATAGCAATATAGCAATATTTAATTCTTTTAAAAAAGTAATTGAACATTTAATAATGTCAACGATTATGTAACATGTCATTGTCTTCGGGTCTTGACCTATAGATTGAGATTGAAATAATTCGGTTCGGTGAAAGTGTGTAAAATTTCGTTCGCACGTTTCGATCTATGTCGGACGAAACAAGTACGGAAGAAAAAAAAAGGCACGAAGGTTCAAGTTAAAGAAAAGCTTGTAAAAAGTTAACAGTTAAACAATATTACCAGTTTGGTTCTTGCCGTGTAGGGGACGGTGTGGCTTAGCGGTAGAGCGCTAGACTGCTAACTCGAGTGCCGTCCCTTCATATGTCGAGGCCACCGAAACAGGTGAACTCTACTTCACTTGTCCTAAGGACCGTCAGGTCAAAAATAGAACGCTCCAGAAAATCTCAACGTACACCAACATATACTAAACATATATCTCTTTGTTTCATTCTAACAAACTTATTGTTAACTGATAATACAATGTATTAATACAATAATTGTAGCATGTTTACGGTTGTGGGGAGAGGTGGGGTGGGGGATAATCCACCTTACACAGATTCGTGAATGTAGATTAAAGTAGAATAAAGTATTTGTATATGATTTGGCTTCAACTGATTAGCTGAGCGTCCAACAGAGCAAAACGTTATCACCTTTTGTAAAAATAATTAAGTTTAACTGCATTATGTATGTGATACTTCGCCGATATTTTAGGTAGAAAAAACTATTTAATCAAATTTAAGTTATCATTGTCGCTGATATTTTAAATACAATTCAAGTAGGCCTATTAAAAACTTACCTAAGTTTGAATAGTAAAATTGTTTGAAACAATATATTCACCATGTCTTTCGTAGATTATTTGACAATTTAAGTAAAGATGAGTACTGAATCAGAGTTACAAACTTCTAAATTTAAAAATAAAAATCGAGTTTATTTATGTTTAGTTTTTTAATACTCGTTTCAATGGAGTCGATAATACATCTACCAGTTGTCTTGAAAGGTATCTGTTTAGAATCACTCACCTGATTCAAACAGCACTAGTCTCCCACAACCTGCACTTAATCCTAGCTACGCCCCTGAATTACTATCACTGCCTCCGACCCGTAAAGACAGGGGCGATTACCTCACGTGCCACGTGACGTCACAGGCACGAGACACCATTCCTAATCCCCCTTAAACTACATGCGCAACAGGTTTCTTTATATACAAAAAAAAAAAGGTAAACGGAACAGAATAGAATTGGACTAAACCTTTTTTTTTAATTTAAAAAAAAAATCACCCCCCCCCCCTTTACCCACCCCCACCACCTTTCAACTCCAGACAAGAAGTTTCGTCTGCAGAATGTCATGAAAGTCTACAGGAGATTACCATCTGCCCCGCGAGAGGTCAACGATTGCCTGGCAGGAACTAGGCAGTTTTACAACCGTGGGACGAACAAAGTAATATGTAAATCAACCCTTCAAATTTCTCCAACGAGGCCGCGTCGAACCCACGTTACACAACCCCCGTTACACAACCCACGTTACACAACCCCC